TAGAGAGAACCTATGGGTGATCTCGGATACCGACAAAGAACAACCCTCACCCTTGAGGGTATAGTCCCCCACTTTCCAGATGGGGGTTCGGCCAGCATGTACCCCTCAATTGTGAAATATAAAAGACAGCGGGAATAAGCACAGACACGCAGTCAGAAATGAAAACCTCGGTTATCGCTACCTCAGTTCTTGCTACAGTTGCCATCGCTGCACCCACTGAGCCCTGTATTACTTCCGCTGCTCCGCAGAATATCGATGATCCTCTATTGAGTTCTGTCCAAGCAGTGCGTCCTCCTCTCTCTACTTTGATTAGTCTTGTGAATTCCTTACAGTCGTCCGATGGATTGCAAGGTGCATTGGCCATTCAGCAGAGCTACTACCCGCTGTACACCTCAGTTCTGAGTTTGAGTTCAGCTGCCAACAACCATGCTATCGTTTCCCCTAACAATGTGGTGACGTATCTGAGCGCTCTCAATAGTCTTGTTGGAGATATCAGCACTTTGATGAGCGAGTTGGACCAGAAAGCCAACATCTTCCAGGGAGTTGGTGCAGGATCTATCGTGGTTGCGGACATTACGTCGCTAGCGGGCCCTGCTGCGGCAATTGAATCCAACCTATTCACTCTTATTCCCAGCAACGCACCGTGCGATGAGGTAACAGTTGCACAGTCTGTAGCCAGCGAGTTCTCGTCGGCGTTTGCAGGAGCTGCTAAGGTTTACACGATCACTAAGGGAATTCCTAGCTTCCCTGCTGCACCTACTAACTGTGCAGCTTACTGTTGAGACCATCAGCTTAGTGTCTGCCGTATGTAGTTCATAGTATTGAAGATTGAACTATTGTGAAGAATGGCCAAGCTGGAGCACCGTAAATTGTACTCACAGCAGATGATACAACAGCGGGAAAAGTGGATCATGAAAACAATATAATGTGATGGGCTATAAAATTTAGATTAAAAGGTCGATTCGAAAGCATAAAGCGGTGCGAGCAAACACGCACCTCATAAAGTGGCGTGACCATACTACCAACTACGGCAGCTTGAACAGTACACGGCAGCCTCGTCAACTGGGCCTTGATGCAACTTTATGTAGACGCAACGGTGGGGCTAAATAAGCAGGAGCAGTCCAAAAGGCTGCTGATCGGGCTCGTCAAGCACAGAAGTCATTATTCAGGCAAGTTTGAACTAAGCTAGACCAACTGCAGACACCAATCAGAACCACACTACTTAGTACGGCCACACTACTCTGTCGTTTGAAACAATTAAAGTGCGGGAAAGACAGGGTACGGGCACAATGGAGGCGGTCCAGAGAATAGGCGAGTGCTGACATATGCGAGGTGATTACGACACATAGCTTCATGGGGGCATGGTGTTGTGTACAAGATAATAGTGGGGAAGAAATTGTTTCAAATGCAACAATAAACCATACCACTTACCGAATTTATAAACCCAAACAGTCCCACCACACAATAGCGAAATGTGTAGTCCTCTACCAACAGAGCGGGGCCAAAAGACCAACTTCGGGCGGCGGCAGCGAAAATGAGTGTGCAAAAAAAATAACGACAAGATCGGTTGCCAGGGGGATCCGACACGTAGCACCACGAAGCAAGGGGCATAAGACACTTAGGAGAGGGGAATAAGACACTTAGGAGAGGGGAATAAGACACTTAGGAGAGGGGAATAAGACACTTAGGAGAGGGGAATAAGACACTTAGGAGAGGGGAATAAGACACTTAGGAGAGGGGAATAAGACACTTAGGAGAGGGGAATAAGACACTTAGGAGAGGGGAATAAGACACTTAGGAGAGGGGAATAAGACACTTAGGAGAGGGGAATAAGACACTTAGGAGAGGGGAATAAGACACTTAGGAGAGGGGAATAAATCTC